ATAGTATTATCCCTTTAAAAATATTTATAAAAAAATAAAGCAACTACATTTGGTAGTACCTACGCCATATTATTTTTGTATTTTATGTTTGTTCGACTACTTCCCATACCAATTGTATGTAAGTGTATGGTCTGAAAATGTCAGATTTAAATAGTGAAGAAATATAAAAAATAAGTGGTACCTGCTTTTCAGAGAACAGTAAAAAATATTAGTAAAACATTTTGATGGTTTGTCTAGACACTCAAAAAAAAAACTATCATTTAGCCAGATAATAATTAGGTATGTTCTGAATAATCATGCCCCAATACTAAAAGAAAGCCATATTTTTGGCGAGGTCCATGTTAAATTTGCTTATTCTCGTAATATTAAAAATTATGCTTGCCCAATAAAGCTGTAGGAACAAATCTAATCATTTCAATTCCCAAATACTTAAATCGGAAACGATTTAGTAAGGTTATGTTATATTTTGTCATATAGTGCAGCAATATGAAACTATTATACAACAAACCATGATGAACTTGTTTTGTAGAAATGAGTAGTACAACTTAATTATTGTATTACAGCTGTTTTTACTACAATAATATTTTATAATTATGATTCAGTCTTAAAATAACTTTCTAATACCTCTGAATAGCTGCCATATTTAACAAAAACCTAAGACAGTTTTAAAGCTAAATCTACTGTCGGTTTTACTAGTATTTAAGACAAAACCAATGTTAATTAAAGATTTTAATCATTAGTAATATTAGCATAATCTTATTACTTAAAAAAAATCAAATTTCATAAATTTAATTTTTGTTTCACACTGAAAAAGTATTAGAAATATGAATCACACTCGAGGCGCTTAAAAATTTAGTATTGTATGTGCTATATAATTAACAGTAATTCTTGCTGCGCAACCAAAAACGACTTTATTGTAGGTCATACATTATGTCTAAACCGCGTTATAGATATCTCTTAAATAGATACTGCTATTTTACTAATATCGCCTTGAATTTACTTTTATGACAAATATAGAATTAATTTGTTTTCACCAGATACATTTAAAAAACTAAAATGTTACTGATTTTGATATGCAACCTAACCTCAAAATTGAAAATTTATAAAACAGTTATAAAAGTTTAAAAAAACATTTGTTTAAAGTCTGTGTAAATGTGTAGTAACTGTTCGGTAACTGCATTTAACAAATCTTATAGAATTTACAAAAGAACCAAAAAGTTCTGTAATACTGCGCCCATTTTGTGTTTATTACTGTTGAAAGAATGTTCCGGAAATGTTCTTAGCTAATATTCTATTTTATAAATTTTGTTCTGTAAACATTTTTTCAGCTTTTATAAAATATCAAATTGTTACTTGGGTAGTGAATTGGCTAGTATATACTGTAAATAATAGAGGCCCTAAAACTGATCCTTGAGGTACTCCAGAAGACTTATTTCGGGGCAAAGACTATTTATCACCCAGTTTGACACTTTGTATTCGTTGGGATAAATATGATTTAAATAAATTGACTGAATCATGACACACCATAAGACCTTAATATTTCGTACAACGTTTTATGATTAATCGCATCAAAAGCTTTACCAAAATCTAACAATACCAAAACAGTACAATCGCCATCATCTCTAGCCCGAAATATGTCATCTGTAATATGTAGTACTGTTCACCAAATTGTTCAGCAATTATCATTTTAATTAATTTTGAAAGACCACAGAAAATACTTATGGGCCTGAGAATAGGTGTAACTTGGGCATGTTTCCAAACTTTGGGAAATTGTGATGATATAAAAATGCTAATAATAATATTTACAAGATATCGAAGGATGTATGGGCAGCATAATATACTGGGTGAAATACTTAGGTTGTCGGAACTGGGAGAAGTGTTACGTAGTTTTAAAAGTGCCCCTTGAATAATTTCTTTAGAATTAAGCCTAAAGCCTAATATTGTTTTTATAATGTTGACCAAATGGACCACTATTAATATTCTGGGGTATAGTGTTAATAAAAAAATCGTTGATAACATTGGGATCCTGAAACAAAGAGGATATATGATTCCGTTTAATATTAGTTATGTCTAGTGATTTTAAATCTTTCCATAACTCTTTACCACTTTTATTTCTAGATATATTATTAAACTAATCTCTTTTACGTCGTATTATTGTATGATTAGTAACGTTCTTTAGAATTACATATGTGGTGTACAATTTTTTTTAACTTTAGCTTTAGCCCTATCCCTTTTCCCAATTACTCTCTGAATGTGTCTGAAAGTTTTAAATGGTATATACTTGTCAAAAAGATTTAGCATTATGTTATTAAACGTTTCTATTTTATTATCAATTTTGTGAATATGATATAATTGATTTAAATTTGCCTGCAAGAGGTTGGTGTAAAACATTTCGGCATTAAAATCTCAACAGGTTACAAATTTGGGCTCATGCTTTGGTTTTCCACATTTAATTTTACATCCGTGACAAAAGTAGAGTTGACAATATTCTTGTTACTGTATAATAATACATTAATAAGACTTTGACTAAGGGGTAATATGCGTGGCATCAGTGTTCATTTGAAACATTTCTACTAAAGAAAGCATGGACTGAAAATAGCGAGTCGAAGATGTATGTTCATGTAAAAAATTAATATTAACATCTCCCATACATTTTATATTATTAGTGTATGACATAGCAATGGTTAAAGATGTTTCTAGACTATCAATAAAATATTTTTAATTAACATATATGGAGCTTTATAAACAACACCAAATACAAAAAATCCGTTAAATGACACCTTTAAAAATAGTTGTTTAATATATTCATCTAAATCTAATATTTGTTGTTTAAATTCGCTTTTGATTTAAACTAGTACCTCACCACCACATTTACCTCCACTTCTGTCTTTATACTTATCAATTCCTAAGCTATTAGATTGAATACATTTAGATAACCAAGTTTCAGTTATTCCTAAAATATCAAACCTTTTATTACTAATGTAGTTCTTTAATTCTTAAATTTTTGGAACAAGTGAATATTTAGGTTACCCATTACTAAAAATCGATGTACCTTTCAACCCTCTTCGAGTCTTGTATGCGAAAATTGGGCACCTAAACCTGTCACTATCTGACGGATTATATAGGAGTTGTGATTTCTAACTGTAGTCTCACTATTCTAATATTCGCATTTACACATGTCCACTTTCATGTCTTGGTTTCGGGAAAGAAATAACAGTTCGGCAACATCGTGTTAAAATTTATACTGACATTACTACTGGGCTTTTATCAAAATTAATTTAATTATTTGTAGTCTTTTGTAATATATCTGTATTCTGTATCTTTAGGATATATTAAAATAGGTTAAAAAAGTAATTATTTTGTAATACAATTTATTGCAAACATGATAGTCCAATGAACGTAGAAATGTTTGTTAGTGCACTTTTCAAAATATACTTAGTCACAATAACTGTTATTTAATAACATTGGAGTTTATCGAAATTAATAACACGTTTTCGGAACGTTGCCACTTGACTTGATGTATAATATTTCAAAGTACAACTTCATGTTATAAATTATTTATTAATAGTTGTTAGCTATTAAGGCAAATTTTCGTTCTGCAAATTGTAATGAACACTTTCCGCCCTATAATAGGGCCGTCGTAATACAAAAAGCATAAATTAAACCCTAAACCAAAGGCCCAATGACCAGCTAATTCAATTAGACCCTTGAAATTAGCAAACGCGATGAATCCAGAGTTATTTTCATTATAAATTGCTTTTCACAGATATGGTTCATATCGGAGATTTAAAAATAATTTAATAGGTTTTTTAAAAATGAAATATCAAAGAGTATTTTTTTTTAAATATAAACGTATCTTAATTGATGAGGAAAGTGGATAGAAAGAAAATTGTTCCACTAGAGGGAAATTTGCCAGAGGAAAATAAAAATAAGTTGATGTTATTTAGATCTATCGGGATCTGAAGCAGAATACCTACCAACATTCAGAAAACCCTTTTGTTATTTTCATTTTATAGAAACACTTTTAGATCTCCATTTATCTTTGTAAACTATAATACATTTGCTACAAAATTTTTATTATAACACTTACTTATGTTCAATGAATGTATATTATTTATTTCTAGAATTTAAAACTGCTTTATAATTTGTTACAAATAAAACCACACAAACCAAAACAATAAATTTCAAAGTTATTCTTTATTTATCAAACATTATAACACAAAAGTTAATCTATTACATTAAAATGAATGTACAAAATAATTCTAAAAAGTTCAACATCAATTATCATATACGTATGCTATGATTTGTCTACTTCATTAACATTTCTATAAGTATAATTAAAATAAGAAAGGCGTCTTTCTTAACACCGTTAAAATAGGTAAAATAATTGTCTATGTTTAATTATTACATTTATAAAATACCTATTAAAAAAAAATATATAAAATACTTTTATTGTGTTGTTATAAAATGATAATATCCTATTAGAGTTAGTAATATTAATATTAAAACATTTTCCAAATACTTGTATGATATAAACGATTTAAAAAGTCAAAAATATTTATGTTTCAATATAGTCAAAAATATTAACTACGATATTTTGAATAACTTGAACGAAAGGAAAATATAATCCAAAAATATCCAGTTTTGACAGGGTGTGTTACTTTTGAAAATTATTTGGATATACGTAAAATAAAAAGTTTTTAAGATGCTTCTTAAAAAACATTATTTAACATCTGACAGAAAATGCTCTATACATTGGATAGATGTTTTTTGAATGAAACATTTGGTTAACTATTTAAAATATATACAAACGTATGGAAAATATCGCTACCTATTCTAATACAGAAGTTCATATTTTATTTTTTTGCATTAATAAAAATGTAACTGAGAATGAACAAATAAAAAAATATTTGAAAACGTTTTATTTCCATAAAAAACGTTAATATTTAAACACATCATTACAAATCATTATTAATAATATCTATCACATAATTTAAATATCCATTCGAGTCACAGAACTCCTTAATCATATTATGATTAGCCGATAAATATTTTTTTTCGATAAATCTCAAATTATCGTCTCTCATATGAAAACAAGGACCTGTCAAACTAATAATTTCTATATTCGTATTTTCATACAAAATAGAAATTTTAAAAGAGAATAATTTATCGGTGCACGGCTTCCCTAAGGAATAAACGGCAAATCTCATTATCCCGGTTTCTTGTTCGATATCCCAGTTACATCTAAATATATTATCGAAGATATTAAAAATTATATAATAGTTTCTGTCAATCAGTTCGGAAAAGTTCGTAACTTTTAACTTCTGTCTGCTGACGGAAAATATGTTGCCGGCATGGATGTCCTTGCAATGTGAGATCATCTTATCTCTTATTCCTTTCCACTGACAACTGTTAAACCTCAAAGGACAGTGTACCGAGGAAAATTCACAATATTCTTGATGTGTTGTCATCAGGTCTCCTTTTCCTGAGAACTTGCATCCTGGAAAAGTTGAAAGTTTTGTCATGTGCATTTCATAAAAGATTTTAAAGAGGAAAGTCATTTGAAATATGAAAATTTCAGAATCATACTATGAACAAGCTAATCTGAATCATAAACGTAGGTACGTACAGAAGTTGCGTTGGTAAAATCAAATTTAAGCAATAGGTCTTAACGTGTAAGTAATACATTTTCGAATTATATTAATATTTTATCTATTGTTCCCAAAGGCAGCGTCTCGGGACCGCTCCTTTTCCTAATTTATATTTATTGTTAAGATAATGACAAGTGGAGAGAAAGGTTTCAGAAAGTAATATGAGGGTTTAAAATCTATAAATGTGACTATAATTGCATTAAAAATGTAAATGGGATAAATCCTTAAAATAATCTAAGAATTATTCGCTATTTTATCACGTTATTGGGGATTACTAATGCCATGAAAAAACCAAAATGATAACAAGGGATTTTAAGATGGTTACCTACCTAGGATTGGGTATGAAGATAAGATAGGCAGCTGCAGTTCCCAATATTACCTACCCTGTTTGATTAGTCTTCTATATTATCTATTACAGTAAGAAGTTGTGGTTATTTTCGGTAGTGAAAAATGCAGTGTGGTTCAAGTTCAAAGTTTACATCTATAAAACGTATAAAAAAGGGTGCGATAAAATATTTGCAAGCAATGTTTATAATTGCATAAGAATGAAAAATTCTTCGTTTTCTGTTGACGACACTATTGAAAAGGCAAGTAATATGATATGAGTAAGCAAATAAATGATATATAAAGTTATAAGAAAGAATTTACTGAACAATTTAAAAGCGGAATAAGAAGAAAAGTTTACGAATTTTATTTAAAAAAAGAAATACAAACACTTGCCAAGGTTTTGGACGCAATCAATAGCGATCCGTATTTTTCTAAAATGGGAAAGACAAAACTACGGGAAACTATAATAGATTTGAAGTTCATGTGGGATAAACAGAACGAGAAAGCAGCACTTATTGATTCTGCGTAAATTGTTTACTTCAAAACCATTTTTAAATTACGTGTAAAAAGCAGAAAACTATTTAATTTAGACTAAACCTGGGTGAAAGAAGGTTACATAGTTAGCAAAATGTGGCAAGACACAACATTCAATCTTTACGACAGGCTTTTTTTGGAAGGATTATTTACAGGATTGAAGGTTCCTTCGGTAAAAAAGAAGTGATGACGGGTTTTCAAAACGTGGTTCTTTAATATTTCAATCTAAAACAACCGGAGACTACCATGACGATATGAACGTTGACGTTTTTTAAAGAATATTTTCAACAGATGATAGAACATTTACCAAAGGGTTCAGTTATAGTAATGAATAACGCTAGTTACCATTCCCGTCTAATTGGATGTTGCCAAATACTTAATCCAAGAAAGATGGCATGCATTAAGTGGCAAAGAGATAGAAACATTAACTTTCAAGAAAAATCAATAAAAATAGAACTACTAGAAATTGTGAAATTAAATAAGCCTCCAGTACGCTATGTAGTAAATGAACTTGCAAATGGTATTGACTACCAAACTAAATCCTATTAAACTAATATGAGCACAAGTTAAAGGATATGCAGGTCGACATATTACCACATTTAAGTTAAAATATGTAGACGCATTGTTAAAAACCTCCATATTACTTGTTACAAAGAAAAATGGGCATAAGGCAATTGAACATGTGTTAAAAGAAGAAGAAAACATGTGGAATCTGGACAGAATCTTGGATGTCGATACTACAGTGCCACCTTTAATAATATCAATAGATAATGACTCATCAAAAGAATGTAGTGATTCAGAGAGTTTTACGTTTCCTGGTCTTCGAGAGTAGGTATTAATATCTATTTTATATCTAAATGTTATAATAGTAAAAAAGAAGTAGGGTCTGGCGGTGCGGCGAGACTACCCAATTAACGCTGCCAGAAACTAAACCACCAAAAAAAAGCTCAAAATCGTGCAAGACGGCAAAAAAACGCAAATGCGTTCAAATTATAAATAACTTATAATAATATAATTTAATCATTTCTATAATAATTTTCTTGAAATCAGGGTTTAAAACTTCCTAAAATCTCAATATATTTAAATTTGCACCAATTTACCAAAGAATTAGAGAATTAGAGCAACATTTCATAACAAATAATAAAAATAATAATAATAATAATAATAAAATGCCTTTATTTTGCATTGTAATATACAATACACAAAAATATATAAAGGTGAAATCTAGCTATAGACTGATCAAATGGTAGTTTTTCGGTAACACACGAAAGCGGTAGAAAGTGTCTTAACGGAATTATATGTTTTTTGGGATGCTGAAGACGAATCTGAAGTTTGCTGCCTCGTAACAGTGCCGCTACAGATCGAAAAACGCAAAAATCCTAGAAATTTTCGGGGTTTTTCTGGTTTTCCGCTCATATCATGGAAACGATGCATGGTACGGAAAATGTCGTTCTATTCAAAGTTAAAGAGCATACAATTTTGCGTAGAACCGATTTATAAGGCCGCTATTGTCAGTCGAAAAAAGCCAGTTTTTAGCAACTTTTGTGAAAACTGCAAGAAACACACTTTTAGAGATCTGTGATGTAAAAAACTCGTAGAACAAAAATTGTAAAGCATCAAATTTTGCGTACAGTCGTCCGCACTATTTTCTCAAAGTGTTGTAGTATCACGGCTCCCAAGCTCCCCACAATTTCTGCTGGTGGTACAGTCTTCAGCCGTTTAATCTTTTGATCAGGAGCAACATCACTTTTTTGAGGTGAGGCATCGGATGCTCCCTATTATATGAAAAGTATTTCTTCCATCAAGAGTTTGGATGTTGAAATCAGCATTGTCGTATACCATTTGGCAAAAGGCTTGTTGCTTTATAGCCAGAAGATGGCATTATTGACGACACTTCAAATCGAGTTGCTTCGTTGTATGTTGCACAAAACCCGAGCGATGACAGGACATCAATCAGTTTTTGCGATCCGTATTTTTTGTATAAAAAAGCTGCCAAACCTATTTGAAGAGAGGAGAGGAAAAATATTGACCGCATTGCACTAATCAAGGTATATGCATTTTTTCTTCCATGGCTCAAGATTCCCTCGCTTGTTGTTTAGTACCTCTATAGTCTCGAAGAGTATCAGGAATAACATGATCCCATCTAGAAATTTACCGGTGGGGAGTTATTTAGTCACGTCATTTACTTGAGATCTGATATCTATGGCAGTAGCTGCTTCGACTATGCGGCGCCTTTCCTCTTTTTATGGTAATTTCTCCATCTCTCGAAACCAGTTGTCATTAATTATTTTCTATCCGCTGGCTTTTAAACAAACAACACAAGGTGTTGATGTGACAACAATATCATCGCCAAACGTTTCAAGAAGGTGCCTTCTGACAGTGGACGGGTAAGGTCGAAAGTCGCCTTTAATCTGGTCTATCAATTCCTCCATGGTGAATTGACAATATAGAATACTGTTTTTTAGATAAGAAATAATCAGTATGTGTATTTACTGATCCAAATAAAATTTTGTACAATTAGGATTAACAATTTACGAGATAATTAGCCGTTTCCAGACTAAGTAGTGGTCAAGAGTATCAAATTCTTTCTAAAAGTTTAATTGTGTTAATGCTGTAGTCAGCCCTACATCAAGGGATTTTATTATGTGTTCACTGACATTTAATAAAAGGGTAGTTGTACTAAATTCCTTTCTGAAGCCAGACTGAGTATTACCAATAATACCATTTGTAAAAATATACTCGTACACTTGCTTACTAATAATTTTTTCAAGAATTTTTGAGAAGTTTGGAAGAATACTTATAGGACGTAGATCGCTAAAACTTTCAGCATTTCGAATTTTAGGTAAGGGTTTCACTAAAGCAAATTTCCAAATATCAGGGAAATAACCACGTTCTAAACAACAATTTACGATATGTATCAGAAAAGGAGCCATTACATTTAGACAAAGTTGTAGCATTTTACCGGATAAACCATCACTACCAACTGCATTTGATTTGAGATTTATAACAATTTGTCTTATTTCGTCAACAGTAGCAAGGCGAAAAGAAAAACGTATATCAAGTTTAAATTTAAATGAGTTATAATAATGAGTGGTTAATGGCATTTCTAGGGGTAAAAACCGATAAAAAATATTTGTTTATCTCAGTAAGATTTTTGAAAGATTCAGAAATTTCAGTTATAGCTTTATTTTTAACATTTAAAGAATTTATTGTTCTTCAAAATTGTTTAGAGCTACCGGATTTAAAATAGCCGAAGTAATATTTCGAATATCTTTTATAGTAAATGTAGTCAGAAATGTTTTTAGACTTTTTATATTTAGAAAGTGCCTTATCTCTTATTTTCATCATAACGTGTATTGTAGGAGTTAGCCAAGGTGCAAAAGATTTTGTAATTCTAGATTCAACGTACGGCGCATCTTTATCAAATAAAAAGAGAAGGTAGGTATTAAATAATTTTATCTTGTTTTCAATATCATTTTCATATAATATATTTTCAAAAGGCGTACTTAATAAATCTCTATTTAAACTCTCATGTGAAAAATATTTGTAAGATCTATATTTTATTACTTTAGGACTCTGAATAACAATTGATAGATTTAGACTGCAATACACTCCCTGTGATCAGAAATATCGTGATCTATCGTACCAAAACCTGCAACAAGGTCATCTCTATTTGTAAAGATAATGTTGAGTAAGGTTTGTGATGTAGGAGTAATTCTGGTTGGTTCTTTTATTAAGTGGCAAAACCCATATGATTCTACAGATTGATATATCAGATTATTTGAAAGTTGGTCAACATTTATATCCTCCTATAACCTAATATATGGTCAAATTGAGGTAAAATAAATGATAATATATAATCAAAAAATTCAAGAAAACTTGGAATACCACATGCGTTTGTTCGGTAAATAACCCCTATTTAAATCAAGTTTTTACCTAATTTAAGAGAAACCCACATATGTTTAATGCCTTCGACAGTACCAAAATCATGAAGAACATGCTGGTGCTGTATATAGTCGCGAATATAAAAACTAACCCCTCCACCAATTCGATTTTTGCGTTCATTTCGAAGTATTTGGTATCCAGGAATATAATTTGTACTCTCATCAGATATATGTTCATCTAACCACGTTTCTGTAATGCCTATAACATCAAGGTTTTGTTCATGAATTAAATCGACAAATGCACTAAATTTTGGAAAAATAAAACTTGTGTTAAAATGAGCTAATTTTAGTAATTTGTTAGGCATAGCGAATTCTGGTTTAAGTGAAAATATATTTTGGATTTGGATAAAAATTATGCCTCGTAAAGATTCCAAATTTTATAAACAAACTCCTTCTTAAATGTCAATCAATCAATCACTTAAAAAATTAAAAAATATCCTTACCCAACTCCGCATATTTACAAGGGAATGTCAAACTTGCGTGTATCTGCTCCAACATGACACATCTGTAGGGACTTTTGTTGGCTCTGCAAAGGGCGCATTTCTTTATTTTGTCAAAGCAGTAATCACAATAACTGTGTCCAGATAGGCAAAGTCTGATCGGTGGAATCATGTATTTAAAGCAAACGGGACATTCAAATTTTGCACGCAGAGATTCTTCGAGGTTGTCTAAAATGCTGTCTGCCATTGAAATCTATGAATAAAATAAACATAAATTGAAATTAATCTTTATGATGATGATGATGATTTTCGGACATATGGTCCATATAATAAATATTTGCGACATCTAGGCAACCAATATTATTACTTTATTGTATTGTTAGTTGCATAATATCAACTTCATTATTTTATTGAAAAACAGAAAATACTATTAAAATATTCTCAATGACTTGTTTTAGTGTTTATTTTGTTTGTTAAAGTTATTTCGATTTAAAAAAAAGTGGATTATTTTTTATTTTGTCGTGTATTGTATTTTAATTATTTTGTCATGATTTAGAATGGAACATAATGCCCAAAACAACATTATAACGAGGTATTAATTTTAACCAAATTCATTAATAATGTATACTATTGATTTTAAACTAGTGGACATTCTTTTTTGTGGTGCCAAAAAACCCATCAGTAAGGATCTGTCACAAACCCCACAAGCGGGACACACAAAACATTACATTCACCCCATCAGTCGGGATCTTCAAACACATATATTTTTTTACAAATACAAAAAGTTGCTTTCTCTCAATTAAAAAATAAAATATTCATAGTAGATACACAGACCTAGCGGTGGAAATGAGTGAGTTTTTCTACAAAATTTTGAATGTCTCTTGGATGGTTTTGTAAGTTCCTCACAATCATTTATCGTTTTAGATGATTTTGATTTTAATGTTAACTTTAACGAAGAATCTGCATCTCTGAGTGATTTAAAATTCTTGCTGTGCTCTTACTGAGTTCATAATAACTATCGATGAATCTACTAGGATCACAACTACAAAATCTAGTTGCTTGGATAATATTATGCAAATTTTAATGAGGGTTTTTATAAAGATGGGGTATATATAACTCTTTGTTTTCTGACCATTTAGGGCAATATTTGTTTCTAAAAACTGAATTATAACTAAGCCCCAAACATTTACTTTAACTAGCGTCATTTCAAACTCTGGCATATGAAAATTATTTTCTTCTCCTTTGAAAATTGATTGCGAAATCTTTAAAACAAGTCAAGATGTTTTTATCCTCTTTTTTTGGAAAGTTTATTAAGAGGTTATAATTAAAGGCATTTTTCGTCACAGAAGAGCAGTCGTATTTTAAACAAGCAGCCTATTTGTTGGTTAACCAAAGAACTTACAGAGCAAAGATATTTTTTGTCAAAGTTAAAAACTATCTGTGTTGTTACTAAAGATTCAGTTTTTAATAACTTCAAAAACTTTAAGAAAAACTATAATATTGATATAAAACATGCAAAAAGAATGCATATGGCAATTATATAGCCATGGCAGAAGTTGGGATTTGATTAACTTTGTGAGAAAGAAGTGATTTGTGGCTCTCTTGGTACGAAACTACTTGGATAATTTCTTGTAAGATATCTACGAATTGGCTTTTCCGATAAATTTTGAATGTGCATGGATTCAAAAATAAATACAGCAGGATGAGTAAAAATTTTGAAATTTTTAAAGTAATTTTTACCATGTGTCCTACTACTTAAACCAAATACATAGCGAATTGCTCATTTTTATAATTTGAAAATAGTTTCGAAGATGCTTGTATATCTTATACAAGGTTGCAAAAAGTAAATAATTTTGACACTTGCTGCTATTACAAATATGTCACTTTATGGTCAAAATTAGAAAAACATTTTTTTATATTCCCTCGGAATATTTTACGATTTTTCGATGACACCCTGTATACTGTATATTGATGATATAAAAAAATGGGACATATCCAATCTTAAACAACACCATATTTCAGTGACAGTGATGAGGATTTTGATGAATAACTTTTCTCTTCAATTTGTCTTTCGATTTTTTTTAGTATATCTTTAGTTCTTTAATATTTAAAAAGGTATTTAAACACTCTTACCGCCAGTGTTACATTAACGTACACCCCTCTTTTGACAAAGGTGTTACTTTTTGTTGTAAGCTGCAGTGTAACATTGTTGTTACACCTACCGTTGACTTCATATGGGGAATTGGCTAGGCTAACAACTCTTTATATAGAACTTTGGCTTTTGATGATTCTTAATTGTTTTCTATAGGTGTACAAAAATGTTGTTACACTTGGCGCAGGATAGAAAATTCCTTCCCAGGCCAGTGTAAGATTATTGTATACCCTACGAAAACAAACTAAAAAATAAAAAATTAACATCAAATATAACCTTCTAATAGCAAAACATAACATATTATATCAATAAATTGAAAAAAAAAATATTGGCCTAGGACATCCAAGGGCCAGTGTACTTTAGTTACACCTGGCGGTGAAAGTGTTAAAAAGATTGCACTATCAGTAAGGCATACAATTGATGCGTTTGAAATGTACCTCATCGAGCAGATCGAGTAGATTTTTTGGTCACGTGACATCGAGCAAACCACATCAATGGAGCAAACGAAGCAAAAGGGGCGGCATCGAGTAAAAAAAGCTAAACGAGCCACTTTTCAAACGCAGCATAAATTCTGTATTAAGCATTTTAAGTTGATACTTGTTTTTGTATTTTTTTATATTATTTAGGATAGGTTAAGTATCAACATGACATAGGTATATCCGTTAATTCAAAAATAAAAACTACCTTGACAAATAGGTATGTTTAAAACCATAAAAATATTCTAACTTAGCTTTTTCCAGTTTAAACATTAAAGTGTCCTTGCTGAAAAAAAATATTATGTCTTCCAAACACCATAGATTGCCATAATTTTAGACATACCTGGCATCTGTCTGTAGTAAATACAAACAAAATGGTAGTAAATTATTTAAATTAAATCAAAACAAATTATTGTTTGTTTAATTAAACATGCCTATCATTTGTCGATATTAAACACAAATAAAATGGTAGCATCAAAAAAATTAAATTATTTTTTTTTTGGCACGTGTGGAAATAAACAAATATTTTTTCTAAACAAATAACCGTTGACTCAAAAAAGTAAATATTGAATAGAGAACCATGTTCATTTTATGGAATTCGTTTTTTATTTACAGAACAAACTCCGCAACCATTGACAAAAATTACATTTTAAACCAATTCTTTCATATGAATTTTAGGAAATATAAAAAAGATTACTCTTTTTTAAAATATGACTTGAGCAAAATATAAATACAACAAAACAGAACTGAGGTAGGTTAGTTTAGCATTCAATGAGTAATATAAAATTTGTCGAAATTACTAAAACATTAAAATATTATATTATAAAAAGCACTTACCTTTTTTTCAGTCATAGATATTCAAATATTAATGTGACGTGTCTTCAATCAAAACCCTACGCAGTCGACACAAATAAACAAGCTCTTGATAAAAACTTAATGTCATGTCCTGACCATGCCCAATATATTTCAAATGAAATACAACCGAACCAAGTTTACTGATACGTGTTTATACAGATTGTCCATTTGATACGCAATGTCCAAAATGGGTACATTTATTTGAGTATGAAATATTTGTTTTATTGCACATTTACTATAAGCTTTTAGGCTTTAAATAATTTGTTTTTTATTGGTTTGTTTAAATTATACTATTGCTATGATAAAGGCAAAAGAAAACATAGATTCAAAATTATTATAAAAATTTGAGTTTTTCGAAATAGTTTGTTTTAAAAAAATATAGAATAGGTATTAATTTTATTTTATTGCTGATTTGATGTACAGGGTGTAAAAATTATACAAGTCAGTAGAAAATATAACAGTACATAAATAATGCTTCCAGTTTATGTTTTTCTTTTTTTTTTATTTCAGTAAGCAAAATAAATTATTTTATATACTTTATTTACAATATGTACATAGGAAAAAAACTACACAAATTGTAGAAATCTTTTTCTACTTTAATTTGTTACAAAACTATTTTTACAAAAAAATGAGTTGGAAAGGAGATAATTTGAAAATGCTGTTTTTAGGCACCATTTTTAGTTAAATCCCGTATAAACTATTAGTGTATAGTCTAAGAGCTGGCGACACAAAAGTAGGGGTGGCTCGGTAAAACCAAAATTTTGTAATTTACAAATATAAAGTAAGGGTAGGGGGTTAAACATGCAATTTTTACGCAAAATAAGTGATAAGGTACAGCTCTGAAAATTTGTAGTATTAACCTTCTATGCACAGAAAACCTTCAAATATTATCCTTAACAGACACTAAGTCTAAACTTCCACCCATCTTCACTGGGTTTCAAACAGTTCACATAAATAAATCTCAAAACTCCTCTGGGAATGCTCTTTTAATTAAAACCTACACATATCTCCTGCTCATCAAGCAGAATTAGACATAATAGCAATAGACCTCCCGGTAGACAATCCATTAACCATTATCACATATTACAACTGCCCAAGCCACAATATCTTCACATACCTGATATAATACCTATCTTCACTCCTCTGCGCCGTTTTGCTTGGAGATCTGAAGTCCAGACATACTATGTTCGGAGATCACGTCTCAAACCCAAACGGTATCCGCCTAGCTAATCTGCTCATAGACTTCCCCGTATTCATAGCCTCAAACCGACTTCCGACCTTTGTATCCCACCAAGGATCATCTATCATAGACCACATCATCTTAACAGATTCCTGTACAGGACTGGTTGCTGATAGATGCTTTATTGGAGAGACAATAACCTTCCTTTGATGTTACATATATCTCTTCTTGCACCCGTTCCACCAAGAGCTACAATATACACCTTTCGAAATTTTGAAAAAGCAGATTGGCCACTATTTCAGAGAACCATCTCTGAAAACATTCCTGAGCAACGCCTACTCAATTCCCCGCAAGATTTCGACACAATGGTTAACGAAGTCCAAACCACCATCACGCACACCGTCGAAACATCCACCCCAATCACTTCCATAAAAAAGCCCTCCCCCAATTCATCCTAACTCTCATCTCCCAAAAACGACGATTGTTTAGACAATATGTCCGTATCCACGACCCAGTCATCAAAACTGAATGGAACCGCCTTAACGCCTTGATCAGGCTCAGAACCAACTTACACAAACAGCAACTATGAATCAATACCACTTTTAATTTAGATCCTAGAGACGGTTCCGAGGTTTGGGAAAAATTCCGAATTATCATGGGTCAAAAAACCAAATCACACTTCCACCTCCAAATCAATAGACAAATACCTTCAACCCCCGACGAAAAAGCCATAGCCCACAAAACTCACCTCGAAGCCACCTTCAGAACCCCCTAGAACCCCCCACTTTGACGAATAATTCAAATATGAGACCGAACAATACGTCCTTCAGACACTCGCCACCCCAGTCATACCTGTAGATGTCGAAAACCCCCTCACCTCCTTATTCACCCTCCAAAACATCCAAAATGCTTGCCAAGCAGGCAAAAACATGGCCTCCGGGCCTGATTCCATTCACTGAAGAACACTGAAGCATCTTCCTGAAACCATCTTTTCCATCCTCACATTTCTCCTAAACTCCTCTCTCTTCCTCTCCTATTTGCCACTTGCCTGGAAATCCGCCAACACCATTTTGATCCTCAAACCAGGCAAAGCCCCCAAATTCATAAATTCATACAGACCCATCTCTCTCATATCAGTCCTAGGAAAACTCCTCGAGCTTCTGCTCAAGCAAAGAATCTGAGAATTTTGTGAAAAAAAGAAACAGCATCCCTCAACCATAACTTGTTTTCCTACCGCACCACTCCACACAGGACGCAATCTCATCCCTTCACACTACTGCGGTCACTGCAGTAAACTCTCAACAAATCTCTTCAGCCGTTCTCTTAGATGTTTAAAAAGCCTTCGATCAAGTCTGGCATGCCAGACTAGTCAAAAAGCTTATGAACATTGGTCTGCCTCCAAATCTCCAAACTCATACACTCCTTCCTACCTCCCAGACAGAAAGTGGGCAACTCCCTATCAAACACATTCACTCCACTCGTAGGTGTTCCACAGGGCTCCATCCTAGCCCCTCTCCTCTACCTGATCTACACTCACGACATCCCCCAAACCACTCCACGTCCAAATGCCTCCTATACGCCGACGATACAGCTCTAATCTCGGTAGCCAAAAACTCTAACCAACTAAATACTCAAACCCAAAATCTGTTAAACTAGTACTCTTTTGAGTTATATTTTATTTTTTTTTGTTTGTAGTGTTTTCTTTTGAGTAGTGACTTACTTGTGTTAAAATGCCGAAACATTTTAAGGAAATAATATTTTATGAAAAAAAAAAATGTTCATCGGCAACAAATAGTTTTGAAAAAAAAAAAAACAACGATGATATTGAAACTTATAGAAAATGTGTTGTAAACGATGATCCCAAAACTCACTGAAATTAAAGAACAAGTTTCTGAAGCTAGAGGATACTCGGTAAAAACAATTAAACGAATAATTATAGAAGGTGAGATATCAAAAGGTTAAAAGTCTACGTAGACCATACCTAAGCAATTGGTTAAATGTCCAAAAAAGCGCAAAAGAACATCAAGTGTAACAGATCTGATCGCAACTTTAATGAAACTAATTTGCCGAGTACTTTAGCAAATCCTATAATAATGTATCCACAAACGCTACTCCACTATTCGACTTGTAACTCTAAATTTGAGGAAGAAGAAGTGTTATGGGCTTTAAGGCAGATCAAACCGAAGAAAACCACCGGCCCTGACCATGTGCCGGAGTTTATAGTTAGAGACTGTGTTGTAAGTCTTACTGTACTTCTAATGATTATTTTAAATATGTGCATTAAGCTTCATACTGTACCTAATTTGTGGAAAAGTTCTAAGGTTTGTCCTATATTTAAGAAAGGTGACAAAACGCACATTGCGAATTTTAGACCAATATCGATAATATGCAACTTTAGTAAAGTCTTCGAAATCCTTCTGCACAAACACTTAGAGTATTATATTTCACCCATGATATCATCCCATTATCATGGTTTTGTAAAGGGTCGATCTACCCCTTCGAGCTTACATTAATTTGTAATTGGATGAAACAAAGTGGACCTTGTGTATTTTGATGTGATCTTTCCGAAAAAAAGAAAAAAATGATGTAGCTGTTTTTCAATTTTTTTTTAAATTAGGAAAAACCGGGTTTTCCGGAATTTTCCATGGTAAAAATGCTAATTGTCTGGGCAAGTATCATTCTGATAGTTAAAATAAATGCACCAATCGAAAGAGGAGGCAAAAATAGTTCGGAATTTCATTGCACGGGTAGTTTTAATGGAGAATTTCTCGCCGCCAGAAGTGCTTTTACCAAAAAGTTGTTTTTTCGTTTCAGAATCATGAACATGAAATTTGCGATGAATTTGTGGCGAAATTATAAATGTTAGACATATGTGCCCATGAGGAAAGTTGGGTATTTTTTTGTGGGCTCTCAAATAAAATAAGTCCCGCGGCGAAATCTGCCATAATTTTTCGGGAATTCGCAGAAAACCGGAAGGCGTAAATTTTTTTTAATTTTTTCCCATATGATTTTTTCCGGGTTTTCCGAAAACATCTAACAAAAAATATATTTGAAGAAACTAACTGCGCCATCGGAAAGAGCACAAAAAAATATACAAAAAGGTATACTTTAATGTTTTCTGACATCTGGTTTTCTTCTCGGTTGATGCTCCATCCTCCTTTTTTTGGCATTGTCGCCCCTTTTATGCCTATCCCAGATTTTATAAATAAACTCTTTTCCGTAACGTCGAGCTACGTTATGTTTGCGACACCTTTCATGCAATATAAAACCTGGTTCTAAAGAACTGAAAAAATCATCCCCTCTCTCTTTGCTGACCATCTGCAGACCTTTCAATCCTGTCGGTCTAATTGGGGTAAGTTCACCCTCTGAAAGTTTCTGATGACATAATAAACAGTCCAGCCATTACAACCTGGAAACAAAAAAAATATAGCACTGTGATAGAATTTTCTTAATTTAAGAACGTACTTACTTAATAAATTGTTGAAGAAGTCCGAAAAACCACGTGTACACAGAGCTTGCTGAACACGGTTATTAAAAATCTATGCCGATGAACACTATCAAGCGATTCAATTTGTAATATGACCGTTTAAAGTTTAAACTTGTCGGATAGCGAATGCCGAGACCATGGCTATCCTTGATACGACGTCCGGCTAATTTTGCGGTAATTCTATTTTTTGCACAAAACTCAAGAAACGTCTTATAACAAGTCAGTAAAATACAATTTAATAAATTTTAGACTTAATAAATTTAGGTATGTAAGAAATTTAAAACTGTAAATCACAAAAAAAATCAAATTACAGAAATGCACGAGTTTTGGATCCCGCGGAGCGCGTGTAATGGGACTTTTGTCGGGAGAATTCTACAACTTAGAAGAAACATACACATTTTAAACTTTGTATACACATTCAGAAGATATGAGATTTGGGTTTGCTTATTTTCAGACCAAAAAACTGAAAATCGTCAATTTTAGGCAACTTTTCTCAAAAACCGTGTTTTTTGGTCGTCACTCAATGAACAGTGGTCAAAAAAATAGATAAAATATTTTTGCAGAATTTTCCGTAATGTAATCGTATTCTAGACATAATTGAGTATTTAAAAAAAAAAGTTTTAAGTCATTGGGTGCATTTTTGTGCCACTTCAAACTTTCAAAAAAAAAAAAATTTTTTTAGTGAAAAATTTTTGTTAAATTATTTGATATCTTGGCCAATTATAAACCGATTTCGGTAAAATTAAAATTAACAACAAAAATTACCTTTGGTGACTTCCGTAAATTTAATTAAGACGTTTGAATCAGAGTGTAAAAATGTCCAGGACGATATTGGAAAGACGATTTTTCATAAATTTTTAAACGTAATTTTAAAAAATGAAGGATTTATTGTTTTAAGAAACCTTGCTAATATTTATTCTGGTAACTTTGAAGATATTAATACTATTCATTCAGATATTTTAGAAAAATTTAAGTTTGCACCTATTACTTCTGTAGATGTCGAAAGGAGTTTTTCTTTGTATAAGTACATACTTACTGATAGGAGACAATCATTTAATACAGATATTTTAGAAAAACATCTAATTCTAATTCTTCATTCGTTTTATAATAATGTTGATTTGTAAATAAAATTAGTTAATAATTAAATAATTATTAAGTATTATATTAGGTATTGTAAAATAAAACAAATAATAAATATTAATAAACTATATCGATCAAATAACAAATTACTCTTATTGCATATGCTCTGCATATTTTTCAATTTTTTACGCATATATTGAAGTATTTTGCGGCATATATATGCGCATATTTTACTACTTTTTGGGTGCATATATTTCTAGATCTAATGATCACTAAACATTTTTTTCCAACATTTATGATGGTAATAGGGTGAAAAAATACTTCTTATATAATATCAAAACATTTTTATTTTCGAGAAACAATTGAAAATTATTTAATTAAATACACATATTATAGGTATTAGTGATCTAGAAAAAGTGGTTTTAATGAAAAAAGATTATAATTATTTGTTTTTTCTTTATCGACTAAATTTAATACAGAGGCGCCTGAAGTTCTAATGGGTCTTTAAAAACATTTTTTGTAGATCACACGTTATTAATATTAAAAATCTTGTATGTACATAAAAAGATTTCCAATGTGGAAAAACTGAATTTTAAGTAATAATAACTATGTAGTATATATTATAAAGACATTTTACTAGTAGATGGTTGAGAGAGAGCTGAATTTTCGCCATTATCAATAATCTTGATCACATAAACTAGATCACCGTTATTGTCACAAAATGGTTCCAGCACGTTTACGGGCATAGTTAAATAATGACCAGCAAATGGTTTAGTATGATCATTTAAAAACGGACAAACAGCTTTCAATGTAATGGCGGCTTTATCAGTACCATTTTTTAAGAATTTAACTTCGTACGAATATCTATTATTATCAAGTTTCTGCCCAAGATAACTAGTAGAGAATTTAAGCATACTTTTATCATCATCCACATATAACGTTAAGCGAAATAGAGAATTCAATGCAAAAATCATGAACATCGAATAGCCACCCTTAAATATGTCAAAATTAAAGAAATAATTTTTATTCTCTGAACCTTTCAGCACGTTGCAATGGTGCAAATCGTCGCAATGTTCTTCGATATCATAAATTATCCCATTCCAACTACACAATGAAGTGAAGATAAAAGGGCATATCCTCAATGTGTACGTACAAATTGCTTCGTGATCTTTCAATTTGTCGCTTTTGCATTTGAACTCGCATCCATAGCAAGCGTATTTGCACGGCAGGTTGACCTTGAAATACAGTTGTTCCAGAAAATAGTTCCTGGTTTCTGCCTTTGGAGAAAAACACTTAGCGCAATAGCAAAAGAGTTCGGAGCATTCCTTGCAAAAGTGGTGACCCACTGTACATTGCACAATGGGAGGTTCCATATGAAAGTCACATACGGGACATAGTAATTCATCCGCAAGATCTTCTACGTTTCTTCCATTGTAGAATTCACTCTGAAATAAAAATAAAAATTCAGTAAATAAAATCTTTTTGTATTAGGGTAAAATGGGGTGAGATGGCCAATCGGGAGAGATAGCCAGAAGCAAAAACTTTATTAATTTTTCAAATCTTGGCCATTTATAACATAACAAACATAAACCAACTTAATATTTTAAGTATGATCAATGAAAATGTTTAAAAATATGATTGCAATAAAGTAGAATAATTAATATTTGGGTTATATGCAATATAAATAATATAAATAAAAATTTTATCATAAAGAAGATAATGTTAAAATAAAATCATTACCATAAACCCATACTATTATAATTAAAATTGAAAGCCCTAAAACCCCCTCACATACTCTAATTGTTAAAAAAAAAAACATTGAAAAAAAAAATTCATAATTCATTATTATTATATATATAAATAAATGCAAAATGCATATAAAGTATGTGTCTGCAAATTTAGTGCAGAATTTTATATTGCATATCTAAAATAATAATGCATATCTGAAATTATTTTGTAAACATTACAATATTTTTAATTATATCTGCATTTTGCGACAAAATATTAACCAAGTGGGTATTTTGCTTTCTAAACTACTAGGTATTAAGGATTAGGGCAAGTAGGTTTCATAAAATTTATTTGTTTTTGTGTAACAGGTATTTCATTCAGTATTATTCAAAATTACTTTGGTTAAATATTGTTATTAGTTATGTTCCTGCAAAAGTGCCGTTAGTGTGAAAGTAAAAGCGTTAATTTTAAAAATGCCGTAACAAGCTACGGGAAAAATGCAAATGAAGAAGAAATGGATCTATCGAAAAAGTGATTTGAGAATCGTAGACTCTAATTACGTTATTTCTCCACTTGCGATAAACTGGTAATGATAACTAACATTTTTGTTGTATTTTTCACACTACTAACTTTTTCCAAAGCCAGCTGAATCCTATTTTAGAAGTAAAAAGAAATAAAATCAAGATATGATATACTAAATTGTTTATTCGGATTTTATCTAATTTATAAAAAACAATATAATAGTTTTTTTTATTATTTTTCAAAATCTTCTTTCTACCGTCCAGATTTTTTAAAAATCATCTAGATTTTATTTTTATACATAAAAATTCACGTATTTTTGGATTTAAACCTAAATTCTTTTATATTTGACGATGATGTTAAATCTCTTTTTGCAGACTGTCTGTACTAAAAAAATTCAAGTGGATCAACATTTATAAACAACAAGTCACTTATCCAGAAAACAATTTCCAAACCGATTGATTCAACAGTTAATAACAGACCAAGGAACCACTTCTTATCATCAGGACAATTTTAATAGAGATTTGTGCAATTTATTTGTATCTTGTAGTATTCCAATTCACAAATTGGATAATCCTGTTTAGAAAATTTTTTAAAACCTATTTTATAGGAAGAAAATTTACCCAGTTTTTCCGTTTTGCGAAAAAAATATGTTCAAGTTAATTTTGATAGCGCATTGAATTCTATAAGAAATGAAATTAACGATAAACCTGTGTGTTTTTCGGTTGATGAATCAACTGATACGCAGGGGCGCTATATTGCTAATTTTATAATAGGCGCACTAGATGAAAATATCCCTGGTAAAGGATATTTAATTTCAGTTAAAGTTTTGGACAAAACAAATAATTTAACGATAACCAGATTTATTAGCAATTCGTCAACAAATTTTTATTTACCTAGACAAGTGCCTACAAACAATATTCTATTAATGGTCACTGATGCTGCTGCATACATGGTAAAAGCAGCTGGAAACTTAAAAATATTTCATCCGAATTTAATCCATTGCACATGCTTAGCACATGGTTTATATAGGACGACTGAGGGGTCTAACGTATGGTCCTAAAGTTTTTGGAAAATGTTTAAATGCTAATAAATTTCTCCAATTTTTTTAATTTTAAAAGCACATGTGGCAACAATTAACAACACTAATAACGAAAAATAATTACTAATTACATTATGGATAGTGGCCCGTTATCCTCAATGAGTCGTAATTTTCTTCGGACTTGTCCCATCTTCCTTTGGACAAGAGCAGGTTCTATTTCTCTAATCTTTTGGAAGATGCGACGCCGCAATTAATCTTCATTTGTAGCTTCCCATCCTTTATCGTACACTTTCCTCAATAGTATTGACCAAAATTCCTCTATTGGCCTAGCCTGAGGTACATTAGGAGGATTGTCCAACTTAGGTACAAAGTCAATGTTATTTTCACTTAACCACTGTCTGGTAATTCTAGCATAATGGCATGAAGCTAGATCAGGCCAAAACATTATATTATCGTTGAGATGATGTGTATTTAAAAAATTAAGTAATTTAGTAAGACATCTTTGAATATAAAGTTCTGCATTTAAGGCTTCTCCCCGAACACGACAAACATACGGCTGTGAGATAAATCCTGCTTCAGAAATGGCACACCACACTAAAACTTTATCCTTAAATTTCGATTTACCTTTAAATTAAACATTGTCTGGTGTATTTTCTATGTTATCGGTATAAAACCCATCGTTTCCTTCAATCTCTGAATGGGATAAGGTAAAATATTTTTCATCATCCATTACAATCAATTTATTGGCAAAGTGGATACGCCTTAATGCGCGGCAATAACGCGGAATTCTTTCTAGCTGGTCTGCGGTGTATTTTGGTGCCTTTCTTCTTTTCCTAAACACTAAGTTTGTGCGATCAATTGTTCTTAATACAGTGGTTTTCGAAATACCAAATCTCCGTGCTAATTTTCTCTGAGAAACACCAACTTTGTCTTTAGCAGTCTTCTTTCTCTTCTTACACTCACAATTCCTTATAGTGTTGTAAATGGTTGACTTACTTATATTTTGCTCTTGGTAGATTGCAACAATATCATACTTAGGTATTCGTCCAACTAGATTGTAAATGCCCTTACGAATATCTAATTTGTAAGACATTTTGCTACAATTGATTTCCAAAACTAAACTGTCATAATCAAACTTGATTACGTGTGACGTTTTAGTTTCAATGGCAACTTGGGTACAAAAATAAATAATTTAAAAATTTTCCAAAAACTTTAGGACCATACGTTATTCTGTAACAATTCCTTTATATTTAACCGTCTTTAAAAATATTTTCTTCTTTACTTCTGTCATTTTTTAAACGGATCTTTAAAATACATTAAAGGACTATCTTAAAGAAATCTGTTTAAATAATGACAGAAGTAAATTAACGAATACGAACATATTTTTAAAGGCCTCCAATATTTTTAAAGGCTATTAAATATAAAGGAATTGTTACAAAATAGACCCCTGAGACGGTTAGAAATTAATTTCCACTCGTAAATGATTTAATTAAAAATATTGAAAAAAGATTTTTGTAAAAACTCCTCTTCAGCTTCAATTTATTAAGGATCGTTTGCCAGGAATTCCATTGCCACCAGAACCAGTTTTAACACGATGGGGCACTTGGTTAAACTGTGTTACTTTTATTGCGATAAATTTTAACGAAATTAAAGATGTCATCTGCGACTTTAGCCCAGAAGACTCAATTGCAATTAAAAAATGCATCGATATTTTTAACGTTTATAGCCTTATTGTCCACATTCAAGAAAATTATACATGCAAAGCCACAGCCATAACTAAGCTTGAAGAGTTTTAAATATGAATGGAACACTAAAAAAATGTTATAACTATGTGAGGAAATTGTAATATCTTATATTGCCTTCATAGAAATATAATTGCCTTAAGGAGGTCCTTTCGCCACCAATGTTAAATAAAAAATATTAGATTATCACTAAAATTAATTTTTTTCTAATAGTAGATGTCCTTATTTATCTAATAGTGAACTTTTAACTATACCTTACCGTGCAAATTTTTGAGAATTTTTTTTTTTAATGTGTGTGTTTGTACAGTGTCTTATGAAGTAAGACTTCAACAACAATTTTCGAATTATAATTAATTTTACTATTATTTATTGATTAGATGGAGTAGAAAAAAAACTAAAAATAAGGTTTTTGAAATATTAAGGTTTTGTTTTTTACAATAAAATATATAGGTTACCGTGGAATTTATTGAGAAATTATTATTAAAAAATCACAAAAACTAGGTTACTTGAAAATTTTTTGTGATTTTTTAATATTAATTTCTCAATAAGTTCCACGGTTTACTATATATATTTTATTGTATAAAACAAAATCTAAATATTTCAAAAACCTTATTTTTAGTTTTTTTCTATTCCATCTAATCAATAAATAATAGTATAATTTGAGAATTGTTGTTGAGGACTTACTTTCTCGTGAGGCACTGTACAAATACTCACATTAAAAAAAAAAAATCTCAAAAATTTGCAAGGTAAGGTATAGTTAAAAGTTCAGTATTAGATAAATAAGGACTTCAACTACTAGAAAAAAATTAATTTTAGTCATAATCTAATAACTTTTTTTTAACATTTGAGGCGAGAGGTGTGGCGAAAGGACCTCCTTAACCCATAATTTGGGATTCACAATATAAAGCATCAGAAGGATGTCGGGATTTTTTGCTATAAATAATTTTTAAGAAGCGTCGTTGGATAACTTTTAATGGTTGTATATTATGAGTCTTTAAAGCACATCCCCAAATGAAAATTCTATATCGGAAATGGCTCTCAACTAACGCATAATACAATAACCTGACAATTTGCTTAGGTACTAAATCTTTAAGTGTTCTAAATTTGTATAATATAATTCTAAGTTTTTTAATTATATATTAAATATGTAATTTCCATTTCATATGCTGGTCTAAATTGATACCAAAATTTTTTATTTAATCTACAGGTAAAATTTCAAATGGTTGTTTTGCGTTTATCTACAATCGGTTAAGTGTTGGTAAACCCAAATAATTGCAAGCAAAAATAAGCAATTAGTTTTATTTATCGTTAATAATTTATGTTCTAACCAATTTTTTATGTTACAGAAATTAGTCTCGGCCTTTAAGATTATCCCAGGTATCCGATTCATAAAATAAATATTAAAAAGAATTGGACCTAATACAGTGCCCTGAGGTACACTACATTCAACTTTTTTATAATTACTGACAATCATCTATTCCCACGGCTTGACCTCTCTAAGTAAGATAGCTTTTAAAAAACTTTAAGCAATTGTCCCTTATTCCTACGATTTCCAAAGATTGTAAAAGTAATTTATGGCTGACTGTGTCAAACGCTTTGGATAGGTCTATAAAGACACAAACATGGCTTATTGCATCCTGCGTTGACGTTTCTTCTCTAAACCCATACTGGCTCTCAGATAGTATGTTAAATTTATTTAGGTAAGATGTTGAAAGGTTTTTAATAATGTTTTCAAATATTTTTGAAATGTGAGTTATCAAAGAAATTGGTCAGTAATTATTTACATCTGAAACATCTCCTTGCTTGTGAAGTGGGATAATTATTAATTTTTTTTAAGACAGTCGGATATACTTCTTTTTTAATGCATTCGTTAAAAATATGTTTTAATGGTTTAGTGATAAAATCGGATCTTAATTTAATTGTTTCAGTTTATATATTATTATTAATACCTACAGCTTTCTTATTCTTTAATTCATTTATTGCGTTTTTTATTTCAGGTTCTTCAACACAAGTAAAGATAAATAAGTTTGGGACAAGTTAACGTGAAGGTTTACAGTTACAGTTCTTCTTTCTTACCAATTTGTTTAATTCCAATATTAAATTCATTTGCGATATTAATTTTTTCTGTTAATTTTTGGTTCAACTCATTTTAAATAATATTTATGATAGGTTTCAGTTTTTTTGTATGAATTATTTCTTGTACACTATTCCATAATTTTTGTGAATTATTTAAATTAGTTTGTATTTTATTTGTTATATTTAGTTTTTATTAAATTTATTTCTAAAATGTTTGTACTCTGTTTTAATAGCCATATTATTCGGACTTTATAGTTTTTTGAAATAACCCATTTTTTTATTTATTATTTTAGAAGACCATTCGTTATCGAAGGTGCAATTTTTATGTATTTTTTATTTCGATCTTCCTTATACATATCTACTGTTTCTAGCACAGTTCTTAAGAACATATCTGTAGCAGTGTTTGGATCAGATAATATATACACAGCATTCAAATTTATGTTTTTAAATTTGTTTTTAATCTTTGTTTCGTCTACATATAACGGAGATGTGTCTTAATTTCTAAGGAACAGAATAATAATTTAATCTTCGCTTTTAAAACCACGGTCGGGCCTGTAACACAGACCGCCAGTTCTGGCATAAAGTTGGTTTTTGTTGAGATTGATTAGTAGAAAAACAGGTAGGTATTTTTCAACAACTACGTTTTCAAAATTTTGGTGTATATATTAATTATTATAGTCGTGAATGTTTACTGTTTGGCAACTCTATGGCTTTAATAGATAATGGTAAGCTAAATAGCATAATTTATACATTTCTGATTTTTAAAATGTACTTTCAAACCTTAACAGAACGTTTGTTTAATTAAATCCTATTTAAACAGGGTCCTCTTGCCGGTTACTTTTGATTTTATGAATATACGAAGGGTTCCGCACCATCATATAAAATTTAATACTAAAAAACAAGTTCCAGGGGAACCCCCTTTAATTTTCAATTTATTTTTATTTGTTGTTAGTGTCAATAGAAATACATATTCTGTGAAAATTTTCATTTACGGCTCATGAGGTACAGCCCGCTGACAGACTAATAAACGGACAGGCGAAGCTTAGCAATAGGGTCCCTTTGGTTACCCTTTGGGTACGGAACCCTAAAAAAATGCGTATTATCCACGCTTAAGTTGGAAATTTAATGTTAAAATTTTAAAAATTACACATTTTAAAAAATATTTTGACGTATTTTAATATACAGGGTGTTTCAGAATAATGTAGCAAGTCTTGTAGATTTCAACTAATTATTAAAAAATATAAATGCCCCAGTTTTAATTCTACAGGGTGATTAAATACATTTCATAAATAATAATAAACATTTAAATAATGCACTGATCAATTATTAAAATATTATGCAGGGTGATTCATAACTATTAGGACATAGATTAAGGGCAGGTTACTTGGATCAAAATATGGCGATAGGACCAAATATACCTTAATAAAATATGGCTGTGGAATAAGATACAGGGTGTTTTTTTTTCGTTTTTTTTTTCGTTTGTTATCAAAATCGGTTCAAAGGCATATCTTTGGACAAGGGATATTATTTTATGTATTATTTCACATTTTTTTACAGGGGGCGCCACGAGAATGATTCCTGATGATGAAATTAAGTGATAAGTTTTTTTGCCGAAACTTTTTAGTGCTTTTTATTAGAAAATATTACGTAAACATCATTTATACGTAATACTGGTACTCCTGTTCAAACGATAATTTCACCTGTTTTCGAGAAAAACGCAATTGAACAGTTCAGAGTCTCAGAAGGATATTTCAAAAAATATTTTATTTATGAAAAGTGTGCTTTGGACTGTCAGATAATTGTGTCTGGTAAATGTCAGTTCTTGCCAATGAATTATTTTTGCTGTGAGATTATAGTCTATTGTTGCGTTTTTTAAAGCTTTTTCGAGTGAAATGCCTCGTCACAATCATTTTACGAATGAAGAAATGCGGGATATGGTTTGTGTATATGCACAAGAAAATTTTTGCGGTCGCATGGCAGCCAGAAGGTATGAATTGTTATATCCAGACAGAAGGCAGAAGACCAAATCACAAAACTTTTGCAAATCTATTTCATCGTTTGGGTGAAAGCGGGTCATTCATAGTAAAAATCTGGGTGGTCGTCCGAAACAAATCACACCTAATGAAGAAGATGAAATTTTGGTTCGAGTAGATGAAAATCCTGAATTAAGTTCACGTCAACTGGCAATCACAACAGGAGTAAGTCAGTCGTCTATTATTACTTATTAGAGTTTTAAAAAAAGAAAAGTTTCATCCTAATCACTTCACTCCTGTTCAAAATTTGCTTCCAAGAGATCTACCAAGACGGTTACAGTTTTGCCAACGTATTCTCAACAAACATAATGATGTCCGAAATTTTATTAAAAATATTATGTTCACCGATGAAGCGACTTTTACTAGACGAGGTGTTTTTAATTATCGAAACAGTCATCACTGGGAAGAAGAAAACCCGCATGCTTGTAAAGAAAGACATTTTCAACATGAGTTTAAATTTAATATTTGGTGTGGCATTATAGGCGACCAACTACGAGGACCATATCGTCTTCCTCCAAATTTAAATGGAGATTCCTATTTATTTTTTTTTGCAAAATACTTTTAGAGATATTTTGGATGATATGCCACTAGATGTAAGAAGGAAAATGTAGTTTATTAAAAATTATCTAAGTGACATATTTCTTCAACGTTGGATTGGCAGAGGAAGTAATTTTGAATGGCCACCAAGAAGTCCTGACTATAACCCTCTTGATTTTTATGTATGGGGACATATGAAGTCCTTAGTTTATACCCAGGAAATTAATTCACGAGACGAACTCTGGAGGAACATACAAAATGCGGGTAATTTTATAAGGGGACAGAATAATATTTTCTTTGCCATCCGAAAGTCCTTTATTAAAAGAATTAGAAAAGGCATAGAAGTCGGAGGAGGTCACATTGAACATTTCATTTTAGTTCGCTTTTTTTATGTTAAATTGTTTTTAATTTTGCTTTAACGTTGAAATAGAAGCCTTACGTTACAAGTTTTCTTATTGTGTTATTTGGAATCCCCTTCTGAGACACTGAACTGTTCAATTACGTTTTTCTCGAAAACAGGTGAAATTATCGTGTAAACAAGAGTACCAATATTACGTAGAAATAATTTTTAGGTAATATTTTCTAATCAAAAGTACTAAACAGTTTCGCCAAAAACAGTTACCACCTAATTTCATCATCAGGAATCATTCACGTGGCGCCCCCTGTAACAAAATGTGAAATATTACATAAAATAATATTCCTTTTTCAAAGATATGCCTCTGTGTCGATTTTGATAACAATTCATAAATAAACAGTGACATTATCAGAAAAAAAAAACGAAAAAAAAATTCAACTTTAACGCCCTGTATCTTATTCCACAGCCATATTTTATTAAGGTATATTTGGTCCAATCGCCATATTTTGGTCCAAATAACCTACCCTTAGCCTATGTCCCAATAGTTATGAATCACCCTGTATTTAATGACAATTTTATTAAGAATTAAAAATCTGATGACTTTCCTATCTAGTTATTACAGGCTTTTTTTGGTTATTTTGTACAAACCTATTGTAGCACCTCTGTAAATGTTTAATATATACATTTTCCACATACATCTAACTCGTAAACATTTTTTATATTTCGAATCCGGTCCATTTTAGAGAAATTAATTATGTATGGGACAACTTTTATATGATATATAATCTGTATACAGATAGGAAAATAAAAATTAAAGAATAAAATTTATATTTAAATTAAAATTTATGATTTTGAAGTCACTATTTTTAATTATTACACTGTTTTAATAATTGATCAATGAACTATTTAAATATTCTTTTACATTCATCAAAAAGCGGGATACAGGCTGACATGTTAGGAAAGATAAGAAGAGCACTATGAAGACAATGAAGTCACGTTCTGAAGTTTTTCCAAATAAAAAAAATGGCTTTAATTAGCCTAAGAAATTGTAACTTTTATACAAAATTTTATCGAAAAATATGTATCCATTCTTACATTTTGGTGAAAAATCCCCCTCAGAAATTATTAGGATTACATGGAGTTGTTTTAAACCCTGATAAATGTGATCTACTTCCCATTAAACTAGGTCCGTTTAATTCTAGGACATTACAAGTATTATGATGCTATTATCGATAAAATTAGTTAATTAGTTATGTTAAATATACATTAATAACATTGAACAAAATGGCTAGACTACTAGACTATGAGATTAAAACGTTTTTTATTTTCTGCTCCCTATTTCAAAATGGATAGTTATATTTTTAATTTAATATCAAAACCGGTGAAAAGGATATTTGAATAAACTAACTATGAAACAGTGTATTTTAATTTTTAAAGGTTGTTAAAATGAATTCTACTTTATATTTGATTGATTTTATGTAATGTATTTGCATTTGTTTTAAATTTAAAAGTGAGTTTACCTCAAACACAATAATTTGTTCCATCAGCTATGTTTACATGGAATTATTTTTTAAATTAAAGTTCTCTATTTGCACATGATTTGCTCTATATCCTACTCGTTGAGTAGTTTTATGCATTCATTTAACTAGGTAGTTTGGAAATTAAAAAAAATCTGTTCTCATTAGCTTGTTCTTATCTAAACTTAATTTCGGATTAATATTAAAGGAAGACTTTTAGGTGTTGGAACCTCAAAATTATTTATCAAATAAGAAATTCGACTGTGATCGAAAAAAATAAAAAAGAAACATTTAACCTAAAAATTAATTATTTTCGAATTAAATCCCGAATTTTAAAATACAAAATCTAAAGATTAAGAATCAAATCTCTTCAGGAACTAGGCCTTGACTGTAAAAATTTGATAGAACAAGGCTATGATGGTTCTGCCGCCATGGCCAGGCGTGCGAAGAAATACGAAATATACAATCCAAGAAATTGTCGAAAGAGCAACAATATGTATTCAGCAGAATGGCATTTATTTTGAACAATGATTAAGTTATAATGGGTTATTTCTTTCAAACAGTTTATTTATAAAATAAAATGAATCATTTAATTTTGTTTATAATTAAATTTTCCTGTTACCTAAAAGAAAATACCAAACTTAAAGCCTGTTAATGTTAATTGATTCGAAATTACCTTTGGTATCTTTAATTTACTTATTTCTCACAGAGGGTATTTAAATTTAAAAAATAAATTTAAAAAATAAATTTAAAAAATAAATTTAAAAAATAAATTTAAAAAATAAATTTAAAAAATAAATTTAAAAAATAAATTTAAAAAATAAATTTAAAAAATAAATTTAAAGGGTGTTGTTTTTGAAGCGGGAAAAATTCTGTTAAGCTAGACGTGGATTCAATAATTATTTTTATGGCATTATTTTGACTGTATTGTATGATGGCAAATTTTTTATACTGAGTTTTGGCTAAAAACAAATTTAGGCGAAATTAATAGGTAATGAGATGTGACCCATTAATAATGGATGATTTGGAATCATCCAAGTACCTATAGACCCTTTGTTAATTAAATAATTTTTATCGAATTGCAAAAATATAAAAATTGACAATGAAAAATGTAAATATACTATTTATTAAAGTTATTCTTCATAATTTATTTTGCTTAGTAAATAAATACGATTTTGTTGTACCGGGTGCACAATACAAAACTGGAAAAAATTATTTAAAAAATGTTCTTGTTCTTATATTACTCCTATTTATTATTTAAAACTTCTAATTCATTGTTTCCTAGATTTTTCGAAATAGAAAAGGTTTTTGGACTACTTTTTTGTCTATCTTGCTTTTTTATTTACTTTATAATGAATTTTTCTTATTTTACACCACTTTAGGGTCATTACTTAAAACTTATAATTCAAAACGATTGTTTTCCGTAACTTAACCAGTTATCGAGATTTTTCGAAATAGAAAAGGTTTTTGGAGTAGTTTTTGCTTTTTTTATTTATTTTATAATGAACCTATATTATTTTACACCTATATAGCGTCATTTCTTCAAATTTCTAATAATAATTTTATGTAACTTTCATGTCAAAATGACGTTTCATTTATGTTATTTTTTATTTACTAAATTTAATGAAATTGGGTACAAATCCTTTATTTTAATATTGGTTTGAAAAGAAAATTAAATGTATGTTCGTCAAGGAAAGAAGTAGATAATTATATATATTACTTTATATGTCACAATTAGAAGAAGAAAAAGTACATTTTTTTATATCAATCTACTGTGGTATAAGTAAAATATACAGGGTATCCCGAAATTATACGGTCACATGTTAACAGCGTAATCTACACCCTAAAATAGAAGTAAAAGTTCATATGAACATAGGTCCGAAAACGTTTCGTTTTCGAGATACAAGTGAAGTACTGGTGGCACAAATTTCTTTAGTTACTGGTTTTCCAAAGTAAAAAATTAAAATTTCTGATTCCACGGGCCTACTAATTATTTTTTACACTTTTGAATAAGATAACGTCAACTTATTATGAAATTTTCAAATGGTGCGTCCTAGCGATATACAATGAAAATAGCTTTATTATAAAAAAATATTAGTTTTCCAAATTTTGTAGTGAAAAATGTGAAAAAATTAAGACAATTTGACCTCCGTAATTTACACACGTATGAAGATGATCTAAAATTGGCGTTTAGTCAATTAAATAGACCGTAAAAAGTTTAGCATTTCTAACAAATTTCACTTAGTTATCTTTAAAAGTTTAAAAAATATTTACAAAAATGTGACACCAGGACTTCACTTTTAACACCCTGTATCTTGAAAACAAAACGTTTTCGGAATTATATAAACTTTTATTCCAATTTAAGGATGTAGATAACAACTGTTAAAACATGACCTTCTAATTTCGGGACACCCTGTGTTTAGGCGTTGTTATTAATAGAGAATATGAAACTGATTTAGTCTAACAAATAGAAAATATATTATAATATAATTTAATTTCGAAATAACTATCATGAATTTATATTCTTATATTTCCACATATTAATTATTTTCCCACAGTTTAAGACTGAAGGGAAAAAATAATTAAAATTAGTGTTAAAGTTGACGGGCTCCTTAATTTTAGCTATCTTTTAAATTTTACTGCCTCATGGAGGAGACAAAAATTCGTCACTGATTATTGAAAATTATGAAATTACTGAAAAATTCAACTGTTTCACTTAATAAAACCACAAGTAAACATTAGAGACACACTTATTTACAATAAAATACTTACAACATCAACATCAACATTTTCTTGTGCAGGTTCACTATTTGATTCACTCATTTTTCACTTATGGATATTCACGTTATGCTAACCAAAAGGAATCTGTGATCTTGTAATGATTGTCAAAATATTTTATAGTACTCTAAAACACTTAATTTTCATTTAGGAATAACTATTGCATTTCTACGAACCTATCAATAATAAATAGAAGGTGATACAGGTAGCCGTAATTACTTCTTAGGGGGATTAAATCATTTTCGACGCGACGGACGAAAGGAAGTCATTTTCTAATCCTACTGATTATCATTGTTTGTTGTCAATCAAAAAGAAATTGAAAACTAAATATGATATTTTAAATTTGATAAATAATGTTTCGAAGACTATCTAAAGAGATTATAAAAGCACACAAATTACTAAGTATTGACTTTGTCTGTACCTATAATAGTTTATTTTAAGTACCTTTTACATAGAAATCAAGTCTAGTGGCATATTACATCATTGGCAAGAAATTAATTTTTTTATGAAATTAGGGAATGATCCAGATCCCAAATTAAATTCTCATATTTAGGTTTACATTAATTTCAAAATTATGATACAATTATTGATAAAATTAGTTACGTTAAATATACCTAAAACACAACATTGAGCAAAATACATATTATATTATAGTTATATTTTTATTTTAAATGATTTAATACAACGAATATCAAAACCAGTGATAAGAATATTTGAATAAACTAACTATGAAACAGTATATTTTAAATTTTATAAACATATTGGTTGTTAAAATGAATTCTACTTTATATTTGATTGATTTTATATAATGCATTTGCATTTGTTTTAGTTTTAAATTTAAAAGTGATTTTAAATTAAACACAATAATTTGTTCCATCAACCATGTTTACATCGAATTATTTTTTAAATTAAAGTTCTCTATTTGCACATGCATTTGCTCTATATCCTACTCGTTGAGTAGTTTTATGCATTCATTTAACTAGGTAGTTTGGAAATTAAAAAAAATATGTGATTTTAGGCTTGTTCTTATCTAAACTTAATGTCGGATTAATATCAAAAGAAGGAACACCCTGAAATTGTTTATCAAATAATTAAAGTCCAACAAATCCGAATGTAATCGAAAAAATAAACAAAAACAATATTTAAAATTAAAAAAAGAATAGTTTACTTAAAAATTAATTATATTCGAATTAAATCCAGAATTCTAAAATACAAAATCTAAAAATTAACAATTAAATCTCTTCAGGAACTAGGCCTTGACTGTAAACATTTGGTAGGACAAGGCTATGATGCTTCTGATCCTATGGCTAGTTATTTTAATGGAGTGCAAACAGAAATATAAGCATATGCTGTGTTTGTTAGGAAACTAGTTATTACTTATCGAGTAACAGTAAGAGATAAAAATATTTAGTGAATGTATCTCAAAAAACATTTGAAATATTATAGTAGTAAAATCGGGTGACTTTAACCCGCATGGGTGACTAGCTCAAATCAGTAAATAGTTATTTTTGTTCACAAAAAATTATACGTCCTATATTTAAAATAACTCACGTTGGTTGAACTGTAAGGTATTAAAACTACCCAAAACACTTTATTTAAATGCAATTGGACGCTTACGCTTTTTGTAGTATAAAAAATTTAACTCATTGCAAAATAATCGGAATTGAAAGGTGATAAAATTTGTATGTAACCAACAATACTATTGTTTTTATTATTTTTTGTTATTATCTTCACCGTAAGCAATAAAAAATATTTTTTTAATGATAGCTGTGATTGGTGCCTTGAAACCAGCAAGTAATATTATAGAGAAAACAATGTAAAATGATGGGTGAGTCAAAGTCACCCTCTACCTGCGAATGGCACACCTCTTTTTTTATTTGAAAAATTAGACCATTTGAGATATTTTTGCTTATTAATTTTTAAAATATAACTGAAGATTAAATTATGGCGAAAATGCGAATTTGGATTTGCTTTTATTTAACAATTGAAACTAGGTTTAAATTTTGACAGTGAGTCAAAGTTACCAGACTTTACGGTACCTATGTTACTATCAAAGATAAATATGATGACTATGGTTGCTATCCCATTTTTCAGCGATATTTGACACAGCTTGACATGTGCTTCGTCAAACACAAACACATTTATACAGGGTATTACAGAATGGAATGTACATACGTTAATTGTAGGTGTGGGATATTCAGATGATTTGTAATCAATCGTCATCATGGGTCTATCACATCTCATTTCGCTTGAATTTGTTTTAAGCCAAAACTTAAACTACTTGGTATAAAAAATTAAAATTTGGCAAGTAGGCTAATCTTAATATATCAGAAATAATTCAATAAAGATAATAATTAGAATCCAGTCTGAACAAAATTTGACCATTTCTTTCGGCTTCAAAAACAATACTATGTATATCCAAATTTAGCACATATGATTGATTATTGTGTGGAAAAATCAGTTTAGACAGTTGTCTTTTAAAATTTGCGCATGTCGTTTTAGAGACGCTAATTTTTTGATCAAAAATACATTTTTAAAAATCTGTTACCTTCAGAATTTAAAAATGATTTTTAATAATAAAACACGGAAAATATTACGTTTTTAAGTAAGTACTTTTTAAATATTCTAATCTTTCAGTATTTCAGTCTTTGATTTATTGTTAAAAATAAATTACAGCACCGTAGATATCTAAACCAACAATTTTTTATATACTGTATAATGAAAAATAGGTAAATTAAGGATTAAAAATATTATTTTTACTTTACAATAATAATTGATTATTACTCCTTCAGTTAAATTTTTACATTTAAATACTTAATTTTATATAAATAAGTGGAATAACTCAAGAAAAACTCTAATTATTAAAACAACCTTGATCAACCTAATATTTGATCAAAATGATTATTTTATCAAATACCCCATTCAATAAATTCTTGGTTTACCAATCTTAGGATTATTTTTTTTTCACATATAATCTTTAAATTTCTTACTTTTCATTACACAGGGTATTTAAAAATATATTAATGATTATTTAATTAACTACGGTCCTGTAATTTATTTTTTACAATAAATCCAAGACTGAAATAGTGTAAAATTGCAATATTTGAAAAGAACTTACCTAAAAAAGTAATATTTTCCATGTTTTATTATGAAGTAATTCTTTTTAAATTATGAAGGTAACAATTTTTTTAAAACATACAGGGTGTTTCGAAATTGGAAAATTGGAAAATGTTTTTACAGCGTAATCTGAATCCTAAAATAGAACTAAAGGTTTATATAAACATAGGTCCGAAAACATTTCGTTTTCGAGATACAGGGTGTTGCAAGTTAATTTCTGGTAGCACATTTTTGTAAATATTTTCTAAACTTTTAAAGATAAATAGGTGAAATTTGGTACAAATGCTAAAAATTTTAAGCTCTATTTAATGGACGCCAGTTTGTAGACTTCTTCGTAGGTGGGTTAAATTGTGTTAAAGTTTTTTTGTTGACTGTTTTTACCATTTTGACTATAAAATTTAGAAAAACCAATATTTTCTTTATAATAAAGGTACTTGTGTTTTATCTCGCCAGAACGCACCATTTTCAAGAGAAAAGCATTTGAAAATTTCATGAATTGATGTTATTCGAAAGTGTAAACAATAATTAGTAGGCCTGCGAAATTAGAAATTTTATGTTTTTTTAACTTTGGAAAACCGGTGACTAAAGAAATTTTAGAAAATATTTACAAAAATGTGCCACCAGGACTTCACTTGTAACACCCTTTATCTCGAATACAAGACGTTTTCGGACATATATTTATATGAACTTTTACTTCTATTTTAAGATGTAGATTAGGCTGTTAAAATATGGGACACCTTGTATATTAAAAAATTAGTGCCTCTAAAACGACAGGTCCAAATTTTAAAAGATACCTACTATTTTTATCATATTGAGATGAGTCTACCTGGTAAATTTAAATTTTTATACCTAGTGGTTGTTGAGTTTTGGCTAAACACAAATTCAAGCAAAATTCATACTGTCCTGATTAGCTAAAAAGTCATATTGTCCACGATGTAAATATTAGGACGAAACTGAATATAAGAAACATATGCTTTATATTGTAGTTAGGACGTTTTTGCCAAGAAAAATATGATAGATGCATGTCTGCATTCTGCATCTCAAATATTCCTTTAAATCAAAAAATGAAATTTTATCAGATAGGACGTTTTAGCTAAGCAGGGCTGCATAGGTAATGAGATGTAATAGACCTATTAATAATGGGTTTTGGAATCATCCAAGTGTCCCACACTATACAATTTTTTTTAATTAAATAACTTGATTTCACCAAATATAAAAATTAACAAAGAAGAATGTAAAAAATACCTAGTTATTAGTTATACTGTCTGATCACGGTTGGACCTAACTATAATACTTATTAAAGTTATTTTTCATAATTTCTTTTGTTTAACCGGTGCACAATATTAAATTAAAAAAAAATATTCATTATATTTTCTTATATTACACCAATTTATCGCTTAAAACTTATAATTCATTGTTTTCCGTAATTTTTCGAAATAGAACAGGTTTGTTTGTCTTATTTTTTCATCTACTCTATGATGAATTTCTCTTATTTTACACCAAATTAGGGTAATTACTTAAAACTTATAATTCAAAACGATTGTGTTCCGTAATTTAACCAGTTTTCAAGATTTTTCGAAATAGAAAAGATTTTTGATCTAGTTTTGTCTATCTTGCTTTTTCATCTATTTTATAATGAACTTATATTATTTTACACACATTCAAATGTAACTTTTATGTCAAACCGACGTTTTATTTACATGTGTTTTTTTATTTACTAAATGTAAATGAAATTGTGTAAAAACGGAAACGTATTCTTTATTTTAGGATTGGTTTGAAAAGAAAACGAAAAGTATGTTGCTTAAGGAGAAAAAATAGATAATTAAATGTCACTGTATATGTCAAAATCAGAAGTTGTACAAGTAAAAATAGTAAAATAATTCTTTTTACAAATATACAGGGTGTCCCGAAATTGGACGGTCATATTT